ACATTCAAATATTTAAGCCCGGTTCGACTCCGTATTCGCGAATCGACAAGCTGTCACGCGGCGGAAAAAGATCGTGCGGGGAAAAAGCCCTCGGCGGAAGTGCCAAATAAAAACGCAATCTAATTGACACGTGGTTGTCGAGATCGTCGGATCGTAATCTATCCGGAAAGCGGAAGTTCTAATTTCATTAATTTCATCGGGAGATATCCACACATCGTGGAAATAGAATCAGATATCAACTCTTAGTTGAAACGGCGAGGTCTTTTATTCGACCTCGGGATTTCTAAAGAAAATCCACACCGGTGCCATTATTCAGCGAGAGAACACTTTTTTACTTCTCTTCAGTTCTTATTCCCGCGATGAAATCCAGATCTTGAAAAATATATAGGATGTACCGGGCTATTCGCAAATCCTTTCATCTGCGGTTATATCTGGCCTTTTTTATTTATCTCTTTTAATTCCGAGACTTATGACTTCGGTATAGTGATTTTTCTTTCTCTCTCTCTCTCTCCGTTCACCTCAGCAGAGTCAAAAATTAAAGTCTAATTTATCTCGTCCGATCAAAACGAAATCATTCGACATTGGACTGTTCGCTCCCGACTTTATAATTCGGCTTTACCGCGTGAACGGTGAAATATATGTGCGTCATACATCGCGAGGCATTCAGAATTCCTTTGACAATCCGAGGAAATCGCGAACGCCGCGGAAACCGGGAGGATTGAAGCGATTTAAGCCAAGTCTCCTCGAGCTTCCTCACGACGAGAGTCAAGATCGGGACATATCCTCGCGCATTCTTTCGTTCGCCGTTCCCTCGAAAATCGCAAGTCTCCTCCCGCGCCGTTCAAACATTTATGCCTCTTGTTCTTTCATTCGTTCGTTCGTTGGCGAATCAACAAGCCATGCGAGTCTCACGGTGCGAAAAGAGAGAGAGAGAGAGTCACGTGAAGTCTCGAAATCGGTGGTGATAGAGATTTTCAAGCTCGAGAAGTAAGAATTGCTGCTGAATTTCCGCGCGGAGACGAAAGGGCGACGCGGGCACGCACCCCCCTTTCGCCTATCCCCTATTTAATTTCGCAATTAAATTACACGTGGCCCGGGCCGCGGAGAGAAAGCGGAAGAAAAAGAGGAAGATCTTCGCGCCGCGTCGTAGGATATTTGCTCGGCTCCATTTGCGAAATTAGAGATCTATTCGTTCGCGAGAGACGGCAATCGCTCTCGGGGAGCAAAGGTGACGCGGCACAATGGTGACGCGTCAATCTCTCACCCTCTACTTGCTCGCGCCCTCCCTCCCTCCCTCACAGAAAGCCTCCCTTCATTTCTCCCTTTTTGACCTCCCGTGCGTTTCTTCCTCCTGGCGGACCTGTCCTACTTTCTTTCCCATCTTTTCTCATTTGTGTGAGAATTCATCATCGAAAAGAGAACTCGGCGTCGCTCGGAAACTGCGGTCCGCTGAATTTTCGTTCGTTTCTTTCCGTCTGCATGGGAAAATCCTGGATCGAGCAAAAATTATCTTTTCGTTCAGCAGAATTATACGATTAATGTGACTAATGCGATTGAGCTATTGGAACACCGAAACGGTGCGATCGAGCGAGCGTTATAAGCCATATATTGCATATCTTTAGTCAGATAGTAGGAGAAAAAGTTTGAACACAGAAGTGGTTATTCCGTGTCCACGTGTCATTTTCATTGTATCGGGAGACGACTTTTTGATTGACGCGAGAGAGAACTGGCGTCTCTGCTATGCTTCTCGTAACTTCCGGATTTCTTTCCGATCTCCGAGAGATGCTTGCTTAGAATAATCCGCGATCTCTAGTCGATCATGGGCGAAGGGATGCGAGGGATGGGATAGGGACTGTGGACCGGGTTAATAACCACTCCTCGTCAAATTTTTCAGCAAAGTAATTTATTTTCTCAAATCTCTCTCCTCCAAACCTCTCTCTCTCTCTCTCTCTCTCTCTCT